CCATCTGTCGCTTAGCTGTTGAGGCCCTAGATGATTCCACCATGCATGTCCTACCACCTAACACCAGGATTAGAGTTACATATTTGTTTATTATATGACACAGAGCTACTTTCTGCCAAGAGCCTACAGAGGCCAGTTTAATAACTCCCTGCTTTTCACTCCCTCACCTCTATAGTACTGCAAAGCTCATCACTTCCATAAATTTGACTGTTTGATTTTTGTTTTCTTTCTGACCTCTGGTACAGAATATCCAGCCAAAGAACAATCCTAAAACAGAAAAATCCAAAGCAAAACAAATCCTACTCTACGGGTCAAATCTCTTGGCCTCCATGGGATGGGTTTCTTGCCATAGAGTCTTCATCAGAGCTTTCAGGATTGCTTTGGGAATTAACTCATGAGTGCTGCTGCAGATAATGACAGATACGATGCAGCTTTATAAATACCAAAACCACCTTGTTTACAGATGAGAGTGATTTCAGTGTTTTGGGGCTTTCTGGGGAGCATTCTCAGGCATTGTGGTCATTTGTGGGTTGCTGATTCAAGGGAGAGGGAAAAACATGGCGACAGGTGAGCACCAAAAGGCCAAGAAGGAGACAGGATCCCATCCGGAGCTCTCATTGGAGGTTGGTTTGGAGAAGAAGCCAGAACAACAGCCAGCCTCCAGCCCACACAACCTCCATCCGTTGCATATGACCGCGTTTCAAATGGAGCCAGAAGAAATCAATAATGTGAAGAGCAGAGTGAAACTACTCCCAGAACTGCACCTTTGTTACAGCCAGTGAGGAAATGTCAATGTTTGAATGGCTGCAAGAAGAGGGTTGATTATTAGCTTGGTTTATCTCCAGCAGATTAGGAATTCCAGGTCATGTCTATTGACCAAACACTGAGTGTTTTAAGGTGTTTCTGACTCAAAATTTGAGAAGGAACAATTCACACAGCCCATTTCAAATCCAGTTTTCACTGAGTATTCCTGGTGGGCAGTCAGTATAAAACAAATCCCTGGCGCTTCCTTCATGAACTGCAAAGTTTGGTTCCAATGAGGGAATCTGAACTTCCCTTCTGGCAATGGAAAATTCAATCTGGGCGTGCAGGGAAAATCTCCAGTTGTAATGCTGTATTTCGGGTGGTCCAGTGTGGAGCCAGGAGCTGGACTCAATGGTTCTTCTGAGTCCCATCTGGGGATACTCTAGTTAATATCTAGTCTAGTGCAGGATATTCTATCTTCTTGTTGACTTTTAGCCAATAAGCCACATTTGGAGCTGGCCTTCTCCACGAAAACTTGGTGCTGAATTCCTGCATGTAGTGAGCAGCTGATGCAGGGTTAAACTTTCGTGCTCTTGAGTTCTACAGCCCTGCAGGTTGTGATCTTTGGCTGCTTCAGCTGCTCCCATGGTCAAACACAGTGCAGATAGGGAGGATGCATTCCCACACAGTCCCCGACTAATCCCACAGAAGATACGCAGCAGCTTCTGACGTATGGACAAACAGGACCTGTACCAAGACACAGTCAGCCCATCAGGGTGGGCTGCAGCATGACTTGGAGATGGTTCACTATGTGTTTTGTATTAGCCCCAACACTGAGTGCCCAGAGATGGTGGGATGGGCAGACAGTGTCTGGTCAATCCCATTTTCTGATCCAGTGTGAAGCTTATATCTTTCTGCTGAAACCTGGTCCATGTGGCCGTGCCTGCTCTGCACACCTGTAAGACATTTGCCAATAAATGTCTTGAAGAAAAAGGAAACCAGGCTGCAAGTCCTGGCAAGTGTAAAAGCTTGTTTTTGCCAGAAAAGGAAACAGGTATCATTAACTACCCACAGATCACAAACTTCTGCTGAGTCCTCTGCCTGACACCGCCCAAGGGGGCAAAACAATCACAGTGTTAAGCATTTGCAAGGATACAACAGGAGGGAAATCTTGATGAAGAATTAGCATCATGTCTGCCTGCAGATTAAAGCTTCACACTTTGTATGTATTTATATACATACGCTTTAGTATCTTCTCACTTGACCCTGCATTTGTAAAGGATGTAAAAGGAAGACTCACACATTTATCTAAGAACAGGCAATCATGAACACTATCAGTGCAGGAATACCTCTACCCTAGAGAATACAGAGGAGATTGCAACATCTTGGACAAAACCAGGTCCTTCAGCTGAGATTAAGAATGCAAAGGAAAGGTATTTCCTCATAAGGCAGGTAGAAAAAGATTTGGTACTAGCATGTGAAAACTGTTAGGGACTTTCAGTGAAAAAAGAATCTTAGGCAGAGTAGGAAAGACAGTGACTACTGTGTAAGAGTGTTTATTTTGCCTGCTGAGCCAGCGCAGAAAACTATTTGAAGAAGAGAGAATAAAGATATCTAATACACAAAGAAAGGAATAAGCCCAGAAGAGAAGACCTGATGATTTTAGCAATGTTGTAAAAAATCTCAGCAAATTCCAGAGCACTGAGAATGCTGATGAGTGATGAAGAGGAAATGCAGAGTTTCGGTGTTTTATCTTGATGTATAAATTGCTTGTGATGTCCGCAGGAAGAGGTGCTGGGTTTTGAAATCATTCATGAAACATGACTAAGAAGTTACCAATTTCAAGTTGACCCTGGAAAGCAAAATATGAATTGGGGGTTTGTGAGGCTCTGGGTATGAGGTGTTTAACTGTCAGGGGTGTTCAATGGTCAAAGAGGCAAGAAGGATGAGGTAGGGAAGACATGGGCAAACAGAGACATGAGCACAGAGCTTTTGCCCAGAAAGTACAAAAGCACAGGGGATGAGCCTGTATTGCAGCCCAGCACATGGATGTATCTCAGTATGGTCTTACATCAACTTTATTTGAACCAACTCTGCCATATATTCATGCAGTAATACTGCTCAATGCAGTACTCACTGGGAATAGGGGGCAATGGGACTGCTGCACAGCCCCACAGAAGCATAGCATCCATCTCCAGGATCAAATCCCACAGTATCCCTCGCAGAATAAGGCTAAGCTGTGAGGCTTTCTGGAAGAGGAAGAAACTGAGGATGCATGGTGTCCTACTATGTGTCCAAGCAGCCAGCCTCACACCCAGACAGCTTTAGCACAACATGGCCCAAAGTTGCCACCAAGACATGCACTAAGCCCAGCTTTTCCCAAGTATGGGGTGAGTGTGGATTGCATCCACTCCCATCGTTGACTCCCATCAAGGAGCCAGCAGCACGGTCAGCGCTCCATGACAGTTGGACTAAATGATCTTTTCCAACCTTAATGATTCTGTGATCCTATGATTCTATCATAGGATCATGTGCTTCACACACACTGCATGTCTCTCCTCAACCTCACTCCTACTGCATTCAGAAGGTTGCTACCTAGGATTTCTCCCGCTGTTCTCCTGCAAGCTCCAATGGAGGGCCTGAGACTTTCCCACACAGCACTGCTCTGTTGCCCTTCCTGGCCATTTGGAGCCTGTAGGCAAAGGCTCTAAGCCCTCTGAAAGCATTTCTGGAACTTGCACTCCTGCCCAGAGCTGACCATGTGCAGCAAGGAGCTGCCTGCTGTACCTGAGAGGTGTGGGATGGTCAGGAGAGGGTGAGTCGGTTCAGTGCTCTGAAGCACTCAGGAACTCTGCATTGCAGGTGGACATTATCAGACTGATAGCACTACCCAGACATCAATGTCTAGACACTCCTAGCCCTGCTCTCCCCGGTTGAGTGAGGGTTTCTGCTGTGTCTCTTCATCAGGGACTGCTTCTCCCAGGGATCAGATGAAGGCCAGCACCACCCTGTTCTCTCTGCTCCCTGTAAGAGAGCCTTTGATGAAAGCACAGTGTGATGCATCTACTTTATTATCTCTGCGTTGCCAAAGAAAACTTTGCTGTTTTCTTCTTTTTCCCTCCCAAACCTATAAAACCAGACTCCAAAGTCCTAGAAAAACACCATTCCTTCAGCTGCAGATTCACAGGTACCTAATTGCTTTCGAAGTGAAAAACGCCACGACTGGGTAGGTTTGCTACCGAGTGAGGAGGATGGATTTCATCACACCGGTGAGCCGGGCAGCTGCGAGAGCTCGGAGCCAAGCAGCCCGGCTTTGTCCCTGTCGGCTGTGGTCGGGTTGCAGTTACTTTTCTCCCCTTTGCCCCCCTCCCCCCCCAGCGTTGCGCAGTACCGGTCAGGTAATCACGAGCTTGCTTGTTTGTGTGCAACCTCAGGAAGCAGCTCCAGCAAAATCCCCTCAGTCATCAGAACGCTCTAAAACCACGGTGTCAAAACAATGCAGCCCCATCCCCACCTCCAGCAGAGCCTTTATCGGTAGTTACCACCTATTTATCTCAGAGCTGGAATTAGGCAGACCCATGCTGACCGTCGGGCAGCACCACCCAGTTCCACCATGCCTCCACCCCCCCCCCCATTCCCGGCCCTGGGAGGGACACAGTGTTCCCTCATCGAATCCGGAACCGTCAATACCCAAACGTTCATGCAGGAGAAAGGGAAACTATTGTCAGTAGACAAATATATGCTTGACAAAGAGGACAATTCTTCCTGGTCTGTAATCCCTTTGGCTCAATACACCTTTTAAAATCACTGCGCTAACTGAAGCGTTCGGAAAGGTACATTTCTCATCTAAGAGAGAATGGTCCTTATTGAAATGGTGGAATCAAAACTTTGGATCGTTTGTCCCGGCAGCATTTGAAAGCTCTTTAAAATCAGAAATAAAACGGTATTTTCCATTGCTTCTCTTGTTCTCTCGCTGCGTGCTCGGTGGGAGATGCCTTGTGCCCTCGCCCCGCAGCGCTGGTGCTGGGGGGGCTGCAGGGGAGGTGTTTTACATGGATCCGGGCAACGTGAACGGGACTGGCGCAGTGTCACCCCCACAGGTCCCGCCCGATGGCCGCAGGCGGAGCGCCCCAGAGATGCGAAGCATCACCCGCCGGGTGGGAGCAGCGCGGAAAGCCCCGCTGGGCGGGGCGGTTGGGGGGGACGGCCGCCAGGGGGCGCACTTTGCGCGGCTTTAAAAGTTGCGCGCAGCGCTGCGCGGGCGCCAGTGCGCTGTTGGTTGCGCTCCTGCGTTCTTCCATCGCAATCAACCTCCGCAGGTGCGGAGCAGCCCAGCGCAGCCATGGCCAGCGGGGGCTTGCAGCTCCTGGGCTTCGTGCTGGCCTTCCTTGGCTGGATGGGCATCATCATTAGCACCGCCATGCCCCAGTGGAAGATGGCATCGTACGCGGGGGACAACATCGTAACGGCCCAGGCTCTCTACGAGGGGCTGTGGATGTCGTGCGCCATGCAGAGCACGGGGCAGATCCAGTGCAAGGTGTACGACTCGCTGCTCAAGCTGGAGAGTAAGTCGGGGTCGTTCTGGGGGGCGGCGGCTGGGGCCTATGGAAGCAGGGGTAGCCGTCCCATTGGGTTTTTTCCATCGTACGCTGGTCGGTTTTGTCGGGGCTCGGGCTGAAGGGCTGGGAGCAGGTGTGCCGGTGCCGTCGGGCTCTCTCCGTATCGCTGACGGCGTGCAGACAGTGCTAGGTGTAATATGCTGAGGCTGCTGCCTTATGGAGTGTTAGGGCTCAATGTCACTGAAGCTGCTCCGCCTTACTACTACCTGTCCCGGCAGTGGGACTGGGTGTAGAGCGGGGTGATGGTGTAGGGTGACCCGTCCTGCTGAGTGTCCTTTGCCTCGTTGTTCGTCTCATCGGGGCTCAGGTGCGTGTCCTCAGTGTGGCAGGACCTGGCAGGGCTAGGGACCCGCTCTCTTCTCTGTCCCCAGAGCAGCACTCAGGGAGGGGATGTCGGGTCCCTCGCGTGTGCCGTGAGTACTTGAGAGATTGAGGCGGTAGAAACGGGCAGGGACTGCTTTTGTTCGGCTATGGCTAAAGTTAGTTAAACAGCAAAGTAAATTAAAACACTACAGAAATCAGCTTTTCAAGCACTGATCCTTCTGCGTTCTGTTCTTTTTGTTCTGTTTAGACGGGATCACTTTGTTCTCTGGGAAATGTTACTTGGGAAAATCACCGCTCCTGCTGCGGGGATTTTAGGCACAGGGCTGGCAGGTAAGCTGGCTCCCAGCCCAGGCAGCGCTCTTTGCTGCTTCTAGGCAAAGCAGTCCGCCCAGGTAATGCCAGGTCCTTTGTCCCGTCCAGAGGTGGCTGCGCAGGGACACAGCCTACCCTGCTCGATAGTGGTTGGCACACTGAGCTGTTCCCATCTCGGCTGTTTCCGGAGGATTGAGTGCTGGGGCAGTTTCTTGAACTGTAGTTCATGCTAACATCCAGAAGGGCTTTAAAAAATAATCCTTCCTCGATAATTTCCTAACGCGCTCTCCCCCCCCCTCATAGCCCAATGGGACCAATGGAATCAGTTTATCCTGGAACGTCTTCATCCTTCTCCCTCCCTAATTAATGTAACACTAACTACCACCTTGGTCGCTTTCTCTTTTCCAAAGAAAAGAACGTGTCGTTTCACATAATACCACAGAGAGCCCATTGGGAGTGCCCCCAAGTTCACATACTACCAGCCCCGTCTTCTCCCCTGCCATGTCACTGCGTGATGCTGCCCATCTTCACTGCTACCCAACACCAACAGCGTCTCCTGTTCCCTCAGCAATGTGGGCCCCACAGGTGCAAATTACGCCCTTCGGGAACGCGGTGCACCCATTCAGCCTCATCGAGGTGCAGGGCTGTGGGTAATCAGGGCTGGGCTAAGCACACGGTGCAGGCTGGGTGCAGTGATACTCAGATGTAAGTTCAGCTTTAAGCCTTTTATCTCTCTACTCGGGGCGGGGGGTGAAGATGCCGATGGGGATGAGCAATCTCCGGCTGTCCCCTGAATCGGTTGCGAAAGGTAAAACTTGCCTAGGGGCTTTGGCTGCAGCCCTTTCTGCTGTAAATGAGACTGCCTGCAGAACCAAGTCCCGAGCCCTGTCTGCATACCTGCCCCAGGACCTCCCGACCTGCCCCATTCAATAGCGGCTGGTCCCTTCACCTTTGTTCTGCGGACAATGGAGGCTCTTCCGAGGCTTCGAGGGGGAGTGAGGTTCCAGAGGCTGAGCCTGAGTCGTTAACGCTGTCCTTTATCCCCTTACGGAGGCCCTTGCCCTACAGGGACCTGAAGATTTCCAGGCAGCATAAGAAATATGGGAACATGGGGGGATACTTTCTTGTTTAGGAAGGTCAACAAAGGTTTTAAATGCTCTTTGTTCTTGACACCCCAGCTTTCTCAGGTGAACCTCTCTCATCTGAAAGGACACTGTGACTTCTGCTGTTTTCCTGTCCTCCCCTTGAGCTCTTTGGGCAGTGATTTGTTACGCTGTTTTGGCTGGAGATGTGACCGGCTCTTACCCGGTTTGGCAACCTCACCCTGGTACAGGTGCAGCTGTGCAGCAGAGCTCCCTTCCTGTATTCATTGATGTGGTGGAGATACAGCAGTGTGGGCTGCGGAACTTCTCCTGGCTCTGCTTTCTTGCCAGGGCATCGTGCATGTGCTCAGAACCAGGTGTCTGAGCCTCGTGCAGCGATGGGAGAGGCTCTGATTCTGCAATTACTTTGCCCACATAGAAAGGATTGACTCTCATCACCTGCCATAATTCATTCTTGTGGGAGTGGTGAGAAGTTTTGTCAGCAAGCTTGTGGCTATTTGGGAGCTCTTCCCATTTCTCTATGTACACCCTTGCTTGGGTTGGGTGTCAGATGGGGTTGGCACAAGCTTACCATGCTTTATTAGCCAACTGAGGGACCTTCAGCTTCCCATGTGGCTATGCTGCTGGAGTGCACCATGCTGGCACTCCTCCCGCACTGCATTCAGCTAGGGGCTTATGTCAGGCTGGGACATGCTCCCATTCAGGCAATAGAAAGGCTGTGTTTTGCTAGCTGAGGTGAAAAGCGTGGCCACATGTAGACATAGAGGCAGAAAAAGCCACCCTTGCAAACAGGCTTTGTTGCACATTGTTCTTGTAGCCCTCCAGCATCGTCCATGGAGCTAGGTCAGCTTTGGGCTCCTCCAGGTCTCAGGGGAATGGAAGCAGGCAGGAGGCTGAGGGATGCCTGGGCTTTAGCTGTGGAACCTCTCAGACCTAACAAATTGATTTCTTGCTCAAAGCAGAAGTCGTTCTGGGTTGTGCTTAGGCTGTTCCAGCTGGAGATATACCATCAGCCAAGTGATGAGTTGCGTGGAGATGTTCCATGCTTGAGACAAGCTGAGACTCATCTGCGACTTCATCACCAAACCTAGTAGATCTGCAATGAGCCTTTGTGCTGCAGCCCAGAAAATAAACAAGGGTTTGGATGCCCTCTGGGTCAAACAGCACTATGGCAATGTGAAATCTTCCCTCCCACATTACCACTCTAGCTGAGCATGTTCCAGGAGCTGGGGAAGGGGGAAAATGATGATGGGGGGAGAAAAAAAGGTTAATCCCCAGTTTGCTGCAGCTCTGCTGGTGGTGGGAAGGGGGGGCTGTCAGACTGGTCTTCCAGTTAGCAGGAGGGACAAGGATGTCCTAATCCTTTGTCACCTCTTTTCATCTGGAGTAAGCAAGTAGAGCCTACCAGTGTGTGCTTTCATGTGGGTTAAGGGTTAATTTGCTCCTGTGTTTCTCAATCCATGTTCCTGCCTCATGAAAAATCGTGATGGAGTGATAAAGCAGTCTCATTTGTGCTGTGCTTTGACAAGGTAGAAGGTTACTTGGAATGCCACCGAGGCTGTTCTTGTTCGGTGCTGTGTTGTGTCTGTAGTGGGGATGGGAGTCTGTTGCAATACAGTGGCTTTATTGCTCCACAAGCAGCTTCTGCTAAGCAGCTTTAGTAGTTAGAGTTAGTCTGCTACTAAATCTGTTGGTAAGAGAATTTCCAGGTTTATGGGAAAACAGGCTGCCTGGGTCTCCTGACCGAGGATCTGGTGGGACTGGGTTGCTTTGAGTCAGCTTTCCCCTGCTGTTTGAGTGGCAGTAGAAGAACCTTGAACCTTATTTGCTTTGGAGTAGGCAGAGTACAAGGCCTCTGTTGCTTGCTCTTTGTCAGCATTCCCATTCAACAGGGAAGCCTGGCTCTCAGTCTCCATTCTGCCCAGGTTCCTGTGTGGATTTGTGATTTGGAGGAGAGCTGATGGGAACATCTCATGGTGATAATGAGCATGCTGGGTTTGCAATGGATTTGAAAGCCTTCAAGCCATCAGCAGGCTTCTTGGGTACACCACCAGCGTGGCTGTAGTGTAGCAGGTCTTGGGCTGCCTCTGAAGGTCTCACTACTTGGCTCAGATCTTCACCTCACTGCCTGCATCTAGGGAGTGATGCTTCTGTGCTGGTGAGGCACAGCTGCAGGACTTCAAACCCAGCTCTTTTAGTGAAATGCATTCTGTTTCAATGGAATCCCAGTAGGAAGGCTCTGAATGCTGCTTGGCTTGCTTTTGAGATGGATGGTGTAACATGCTGCTTGCAGTACAGGGCTGTATGTAAGTCTTCAGGAGCTTCTCTTGCAGAGATTAGAGGAGCTGCGCAGCATCTTGTCACCTGTTCTGCCATCACTTTGCATGGATGCCCTTGGGAAGGAAGAAGTCCATACAAAGTATGCAAACAAGGCACTCAATGAGCATCCTGTCAGAAAGCTATCTGCACACAGAGCCATAATAGCAGTTTTGCATTACAAAAAAGTCTCCCAGTAGTTGTGTAGCATAGGTGATATAAACAGAATAAATAAGGAAGTGTGATGATTGAAAAATGACCCCAGTTCGGTCTTTTGTAACCAAGGAATTGGCAGCAATTATTTGTGTGATAGTAGTGAGAAGGGGAAAATGTGAGTTACGCATCAGATAAAACTGTATTGAGTAGTTTGTCCAAATGCCATTGTAAGTCAAAGCCTTTGGACAGCAGGTAAATAATGTTGGTTTCAGTGTGTGGGTGGGACAAGTAGGAGCTGTATATCTTACTGTGGCGTGTAGGATTCATGTTTAACATTTCTCAGTTTTAAGACTCTTGACAGTGCTTTCTGCTTTCTTGCCATGGACATTTTCAGAGCCAGGTCTCAGTTGCTAACTAGTAATAAAAAGGCTTGGCTTCTGAGTAAACAGTGGTTGATAATGACAAAACATGGCCACCTGACCTCTGCTGATAGTGTCTGGCCAGCCTGGAGTGGGGCTGCTCTGTCCTAAGGGCTCCTGGTCTGTGGAGTGGGAGTTCTGGGTGCCACACCACTCTGAGGGTCCTGGATCACAGGGGAAATCCTGCTTCTCTCCACTATAATGCAGCTAGAAAGTTGTAGAGTGCTGTTGCTAACCTGTCCTGTTTAGCAGCTTAAGATAATGCAGCTTAATGATATCGCTTTTAAAGCACCTGGAAAGGCCCACGCGAACAGCAGAGCTAATACTAAACTAGTGCTCATCCTCAGGATGTGCAGCTTTCATTAACTCCTTTGCAAGCGAGTACATAATAACTAATTGCTTGCTTTATCATTAACCACAGTGATGTACTGCACACACTGCAGAAGTGGTGGGAAGGTAAAAAGTGCTGCAATATCACACTGCTTTGTTCTTTGGTTCTCCAAGTTTCCTAAATGACTTCTCTCCCTCAGTGGATAAAGCAGGGGGAGGAATGTGCTGAGGGTGAGGAGCATTTAGGCTGCTGCTGAAAGCAGGCAGTCCCCCCAGAAGAACTCTTGCAGTCTGTTTCCTTACCTTGAGGAACATGTGGATTTCTTTTCTTGTTCAGCTACTTTTGCAAAGCTGGCATGGCATGCACCCAGATAACATTCCATAGGGGTTTTTTTTAGCTTCACAAAAACTGTACAAGTTTGAAAGAGTTGGATTTGGGGTTTGATTTTTTTTTTTGTAGTAAGACTAAGTCCAGCTTACTGCAGACTTGCTGGAATGATTTGGTGCTGCTGCAGAAATGTCCTTTCCCATGTCAAGTATGAGTGAATGGCTCCACCCAGCCTCTCCAGAACTGCAGCTGTTTAAGGCTTTGCCCTAAATGTATGGCAGCTGAATTAGTTTTCCAGGTGGCAATCCATAAGCAGAAGTCTTTATAATGGCATAATTATAAGCTAGGAGCTACTTTCTAATGTATTCTCTGAGATTGGAGAGCAGTTTCTTCAAGAATGTCTTCAGATATGGTTGTGATTTTTATGCTGAAGTGATAAATAGTTTGCACTTGGGTTTCTGCAGTCAAAGCAGCAGATGGGTTTTGCCTCATGCCTGGGTGGTGCAGAGATGTATCACCTCCCCCTTTGGAGAAGGTGAGATGTCACTTTGCCAAGCTCATGGTGGGATGTTTCCTAAGAAAGCTGTTTCTTAGGAAAGTGTGTCACTTCCTATTGCTCTATGTATTACTGTACTGTATTGTTTCTAACAGGTTTTGTAAGCTACTCCCAGAACAGCAGGGTTGTACTGTGTGTGGAGACTGGTCCTTGTTTGTTTTAAAGTAGAACCAGAGGCCAGCAGCTTGTTGGCTTGGCTCAGAAGAATTTTCTTGCAAAGCACAGTAAATAAAGCAGCACCAGGGGATAAGTGTGTGTTCCGCAACCCTCTAGGACTGCACTCCTGGCTGTGCAAACTACTTCAGGTTGAGCCCAGAGACTTTTTGTTGTGTACCAGCTCCGATGAATGCATGGTAACAGTGCTGTGGGGATGTGCTGTGCTGACTGAAGGGTTTGCAGGTGCTCTGTGGTACCTCTTAGGCTTAAATCATGCCCTGCCAATGATCACAGACCTATAGAATGCATTGGTGTGTGCTGCACACCTGGGAATGGATTATAGAGCTAAAACAGTATGTGTCACACATTGCTGCTAAGTAACTCATGTCAGGGACAGCTCTGCCTTAGTCACGGTGCTCCTGGGAGCTTGCTCCTGTGATTATCCAGCCCTGTTTGCTTCCAGGACTGTATATGAAATGGTGTGCTGTTCAAACAAGCCCAGTTTGCCAGGCAGTAAAAGCTCAGGCTAATTCTACTGCTGCTTGCTCTTCGTTGTTCTGTCACCTGAAAGTTTTAATCAGTAATGACTTAATTTCTAAAATTGGTTTTCTTTCATTATCCATAAAATCAGAGTTCTGTAGTAAATGTGTTATGGTTAGTGTGCCGTCAGGTGAGTTAACATAAAGGCAAATCATGGATAAGGAAATAAATCAAATCTGTCTGCTGAGAACCCAGGCCAGCGTGATCTTTGCCAATGGGAGGCATCGTCCTCTGCTACAATTCCTCAAAACCAAAAGAGGTTCCTAAGACATTCTGTATCGAGTCTAAGTTAAATACTTGAGGACAAAAAGTTGTTCACTTTTCCGGGGAAATTTCTCTTTCTGTGGCAATAGTGATTTTTATTTTAATCTTCTGGGACTCGCTACTTTTCCATTTAGAGTCTAAATCAGCATGGAGGTATTTGTACAAAAGATGGGTCTTGGAGGTGTTGAGCAATAAAGGGCTCCTGCTGCCTGCTGTGGGACTATTCATATGTATGGTACTATTCGTATTAAAACACAGCTAAATGCTTTGTCAAGGTAGGGCCCAAATCTGAATACTTCTTTTGATAAACAGATATGTCCTTCCCATTGAGATTCAAATGATCCGGGAACAAAAGATGTTTGAGGGTAATTCCCAGGTCATTTCCTGCATACCCTGTTACCCGTGCATGTTAGAGGAGACTGAGAGTCCTCTGATCTTCATGCATAACAGTCCTGGAGCTTAAAGCAAGACTCTCTTGGATGTGTCCGGTGTAACACCACAAAGTGAATCCTAGAATCGTTTGGAAAAGACCACTAAGACCATCAGTTCATCCCACCCCCCATCATCAGCGTACCACTAAATCATGGCACTCAGTGCAACTTCCACCCTTTTCTTGAAAATCTCTAGGGATGGTGACTGCCAGCTCCACGATGATTACTGAACCCTGGGAATCTGAGTTCCTGTATTCTTGTTTTGTATCTTGAGTTGTCTTTGTGGTAACACAAGCCCTGATGTCGTGCAGGCAGCCTGCAGGCTACACGAGCCTTGATGGTGGCCGCCATACTCCTGGGCCTGGTTGGTGTGTTTGTTGCTGTGACTGGCATGAAATGCATGAAGTGCATGGAGGACGACCAGGTGAAGAAGATGAGGATGGCTGTCTTTGGTGGGGTGATCTTCATCATTGCAGGTCAGTAACATTACAGTTATTTAATAACAGATTGGTGGTGTTCCAAGTGCTGGTTCTGCTTCGTGCTTCTGTTGTGATTTCTTTTTTTTTTTTTTTTTTGTTGACTGTTTGTTACTTAACAGTAAACATGGCATTGTGTTCCCTCTATGTGCAGGTCTGGCAGCACTGGTGGCCACATCATGGTATGGCAACAGAGTGGCTCGAGCCTTCTATGACCCTTTCACCCCCGTTAACACCAGGTACTGACCCATTTGATATAATGCTATAGTACAGCATGGCAGGTGTTTGGTTTAGTTTTGGGTGGTGGTGGCACAGAACACAGGAGGGAATTGCAACTCTTTTCTTTGTTTCTCCCCAGATTTGAATTTGGATCTGCCCTCTTCATTGGCTGGGCAGCTGCTTCTCTAGCCTTGCTGGGGGGAGCCTTCCTCTGCTGTTCCTGCCCTCGAAGTGAAACCTCCTACCCACCCAGTCGGGGCTACCCCAAAAATGCACCCTCCACAGGGAAGGATTACGTATAATGAAATGACGAAGAGGAGCCACCAGCACTGGTAGTAAAAGCATTTGGAGAGGACACTACAATGCCGCTGTCCTGAGCAGAGTTCAGACTCTAGGTTTTGCCTTCCTCTTCTCCCAGAAATGTGTATATTTTTATAATCCTCTTTGCTACTGGACATAACTTCTCCTTTCTCTCCCAGCCCGTGGAGGAAGGCTAGCCTAAGCTTGTAGGTATTGCCACTGGAAAGATTGAAGCCTCCAAGCTTGGGTTAAATTTAGTATTTGGGAGTAAAAGGGAAAATGATACTGTTTTTAGATGGATGTTGGTGCTTTTTTTTTTTTTTTTTTTTTTTTTTTTTTTAAGTTTTTTTTTAATTAAAAATAGATGGTAACAATTCAGTCCCCATATCCCATTAAGTTAGAGCCCAGCGTGGTGTGTGTAGAAATCAAAGAAACACTATATACAAAGAGAAGACCAATAGCTTAAGGGGAAACATAATTTTGGGGAAGTGACTTTACAGGTAGGAATGTTTGAAGAGATCTAAACTGTTTTTATACTGTTACTGGTGTCATCTTCAGCACCTTCCTTTCTGTGCAAAGGGTCTGATACAATTAAATTGCTGTGACTTAAACTGAAATCTGTAACTGTATGCATGTGTTGTTGGCCAACAGAAGATGTAGTGTAAGACAGCCTGGCTTAACTGTGTGTCATCTTTTGACAAGATCTGGTAAGATGATTGTGTATTGGCCAAGGGCTGTAATACAGCTACAACAGCTAGCAAACTCCCAACCAGCTGCAGGTCTCCCTGGTGCCAGTGAAGAGGTAGACAGAAACAATCCCCTGTTCTCACTGTTGACTCTGGGGCTGTTGTGTTGTTCCTTAGACTCTGTTGTTGATGGTTATTTCTTGATGTTCTTAGCCTGGCTGAGCTCAAAGCTATATCCCCATGTCTGTTACAGGTCACCTTTTAACAATTGTTGCCTTCTTTTCCTTGAGTCATTCCAGTTTGGGCTTAGTTATAAGTTACAGATCTGTTTGCCTTATGTGGCTAAAAAATGTTAAGCCAAACAATGCAGTGCCACTCCCTGATGTTTCCCCGTGGATACCTCTTGTACTGTCATTTGACCCTATCTTTACTCTTGCAAATACTTTCAGTCGTGATATGAAGGCAAATTCCAAGGAAACTGACCTGAGGGTTATAGCATTTTCTTTCAATCCAAGCTTGCCGAAGAGGGAAGAAACCCAGCTTTGTAAAGATGAAGCCATCACTGCATATTAAGTCCTATATGAAAATGCAGCTCATGGTTTCCCGCCCCTTACCCGAAAACCGGTCTGTCACCAGTGCCTGACCAACACTGGTAAGGCTGGCTGGAGATTAGTCTGGTGTTCCTAAAAGGATGATATCAGCTTCCAAGGCTCAACTTTGATTTATGTAAGGATGGAAGCTGGTTGCTTCCAACCAGGCTTTATAATGGTGAATGTGTTCAGAGGCATCAGGTATCTGGGTTTCTTTTGTAGACAGGGAGATCTGTGTGCAACCTTGGCCTTAGTGCTTCATATAAGCCTTGTACCTCTGTTTGACCTGACTCTGCAACATAAATCAAAGCTACTAAAGAAACCAAAGCATTTGCTTCAGGCTTGATCTGATGTTGACCTGTACTTGAGCTGGGTCACATGGCTCCTACTTCTCGATGGGGAATTGCCCTGTGCACAGTGGGACCTTGCGAGACCTTGTACCTTGTCTTAAGGGGTGGCAGCTCAGGTCATGCTGGAGCTGCTGAGGTCTGTGCTTTTGTATTTGCATTAACCCTGTGCCAGGGAGCAGATGCTTGTATTGGGAACTTGTATAAAGTGTTTAAACAATTTCAATAAATGGATTTTTGTAAGGAACGACAATCTGCATTGTTTTATTTTTCTTGCATTTTAAACAGTACTTGGACAGAGCGTATGGAAGACAGGAGTGGCACTTGTGTTTTTGGGAGCCTGCCTGCTGAGATGGAGCACATAGGTGGGGACAGATCTTCTGCAGTGAGTCAGGCAGTTGCGGCCTCTGGCACAAACTCACCCAATAATCTGCTACAATTGCAGCCTCGGAACCAGAAGGTCTGCTCCTCGGCAAGGCAGACTGCACCCTGGGTGGAGCAGGAAGGGGCAGGGAGAAGGCAGATAGCTCCCTGCAGGGGAGTGGGAGCTGCAGGAATGGGGAAGGGACAGGGTGTGGAGCAGTGGTGCTCCCAGGAGGGATGTTCAGTGTTTCAGCAATGCATTCTCTCTGTTTATCTGGGGAAGGAGATGTGCAGATGTGTCTTCTGTGCAAGATTTTCTTTTTCCCCCTTGTTTCTGCCTGTTTTGGAAACATTTCCATTTTTTGTTACTCTTGTGTTCATCCTTTCCATTATTTCAAGTGCATGTGATGAGAAGTAAACTTCATTTAAAGCCTGTTTCTGTACTCAAGGAGCTGCTTACTGTGTTCCTTCTCTCTGCAAGGGCTGTTTGCTTTTGTGATACAAACAAAAGGAATAGAGCTAATTAGGCCTAAAGCTGGCAGAGCAAAACAGACAGGCATGTGGCTGAGTGAGCTTGCAGTGCCTGGAGCAGACTGGTTGCCTGGCATAGTTTGGGATCTATGGTCATTCTTATTCCAACCTGTCAATTAGTCAAGGATTTCCATTGAGATTATTTTTTTCCCATGTTTTTGTGCTCTCTAAGGACTTTGCAAGTTCTGCTCTGACATTTGCTGTGCAGGAGTAGGGGCCTGGGCATAAGAATGTGGAAAACAAATTATGTCACCTACAGATAGGCAGTGGGATGTCTCAGCTGTTGGCATAGATAGGGCACTGCAGGAGACTCACACCTGTGGAAGACCAGCATAAGATGGTCAGAGGCCAGCTTGTTTGTTTGATATACTCTCAGTTTCTCTTGGTTCATGGGCAAATTGTCATTGGGAGATAAGGTTTGTGGGGTGCTATCTACTAGCTGACTCGAACACCAAGGTGAAGTTTGAGGGGAACCATAACACCATATGGCTCACAATCCCTGGTGAGGGGTGGTGACAAGAGGCAGTATCTCTTACCCAAGGATGGAGATGAGCTGAGGGCTGAAGTCCCACGAGGTCTGCTTAGTTGCCTTTTCAGAAGTCATTCAGACGTCTACGCTGTATTCACAGAAAAGGAGTGATGTGTTGGGAGAATTTCCCATTGGGTCTCAGTCTTTACATGTGATTCTGACATCCTGCTGCTGTAGCCATCTTGTACTGAAATGATGGTGTTTGTAGAGACAATGGGAACTTTGCTGCTTGGCATCTTCCACTTTGTATTTGTTACTCAGGTGGTGATGTAGCTGTGAATACTGAATTCTGCTGTCAGTGGGGATTTCATGCTCGTTTACGCTGGTTGAGTATTTCAAAGAATTGCTCGGGATGTTTTTGGAATAGCATCAGCCTCTTGGTTGTTTTGGCTTCTGTAACTCATTTTAAGAAAACCATCTGTGTGAATGCCTTTAACAGGTTCAGCTTCTGATTTACACAAGCATTTCTTGTAAAAAAAAAAAAAAAAAATTTGCCCTTGTTTTCTGTACTGCTCTGAGAATACATATAGTGCATTAAAGCATTCAAAACTCTGACAATGGGGAGCCCAGAAATAACCAGTGGAGCTGGTGATAGCTGATGATAAGAAATGTTTGCAAAATACTCATACAAACTCAGAAGTTTTTTTTAATGAGGTAAAAGTAGCTTTAAGCTTTCTGTAAGCCATGCTACCATATTCAAGTAGACTTCCCTTTCTCAGCCACTCTGCTCAGGTGTGGATTGGAATACAGGGGGAATACAGCTGCCCTTTACAGAGCTGGGCCAGGGGTGCTCATTTTTCAGAGTGCTGCAGTTATGTGCTCGCAACAGCCATTCACCCAATTGGGTGTCTGACTTGGTATTTTTTTTTTTCTTTTTCAAACTCCCATTTGACTGCAATACCAAAAGTTTTGCAAGGATTTCCTCATTCCTGCTACCCCACAGGCTGCTCAGTTTGCCTGGTTGCTATTCCCCTGCTTAGAGCAGCCCAGCCTGTGATTGAGAACTTCTGCAGCCCATTGCTTTCCACCCTGCCTGCAGTCTCTGCAGAAGCCTTGCACACTATGGCATCAGCATCACTGAGCAGAAAGTGGAAAACACTCCTTTGTTAAGCCTCATGTGCTTGATTGGAATATATCCCAACTCCTACAGCTTTTCCAGAAAAGCCCTGCCTGGATTCCTAGCATGCTGCGTCAGGGACATGGTGCTTTTAGGGTCTGTGGTTCCTACAGTGACTTGCTGAAGACACCAGGAGACCCTGACCATGAGAACCCGTGGGTACTTCCGTGGGTCTGTACACTAGGCAGCCTGTTGGCTTTGCCCTGGGCACGAGAACTGCCTTCTGTTCCTGCCTGATTCATCAGTCAGTCCCAATTTTGTATCAGGGACCTGAATTTTGATGTAAAGTTTCCCATATAAAGGTTTGTTGTTTTTATTTCAATTTTTGCCTTGCCCAGGGCTGCCAGACTGGGCTGTGGCAGTGTGTCACGTTATGGGACATTGCACAAGTTCTTTCTTAACCTGATGTGCCTTTCACCACAGCATCACAACTCTGGGAGGTGCATTGTGGGCTTTTGTCCAGGAGTCACAATCATTTTAGATGGAAAGGATTTAAAGGCCATCTGATTCAACTCTCTGCAATGAACAGGGTACCTGCAGCTCCCTCAGGTACTCAGAGCCCCATTCCCCTGATATTGGGTGTCTGCAGGGATGGGGCACCCACCACCTCTAGGCATCATGTTCTAGGAAGGTGGAAGATGTCTCTGCTCTGACAAAGGACTGTGCCTTCACATCAGGCTGAGAACAAATAATCTCATCACAGTTTACAACATGCTCTAGCAATCCCAGTAAGGACTCCCAGAACTGAGAGCTACAAAACCAGCCTTTCTCTGTGCCCTACAGTTTGCAGACAGCTTTTCATGGTGAAAAAGCTGAGACCACAGTACAGGAGGCAGGGAGGGGAATACAGCTGGTTCCAAGCTTTCTCACTTCCTTCCCTCCTAGGAGACTCAGCTACCCAAAAGCTGCTGTTATTTTTAATGTTATTTTTAATTTGCGAGTGGCACAGAAGGTCCAGCAGGTGGGAGGGTGGGATGCTGCACTCCCAGCCCTGTGCTCCCGCCTGCCCTGTATCAGTTCCCCAGCAGCACAGCAGCAGGGGGGCTGTGAAAACAACTTCAGCCAAGAGGAAAAAAAGCAAGAAATAGCATTCTTATTACAAGGTAAACAGCTTTAAGTCAGTCTTAGGGGAGTAGAAACAGCACAGCCCTGATAGGTTTCTCTGCCCACAGCCCTGGACGGGTGCTGGAACATGCTCCACCCTCTGCTTGTGTAACACTTCCCGTGCCACAGCTGTAAATAATCATTTACCTGTGTGTGCTGTGTTCTGGGGGGGACTTTTCTTGACTTTGGTTGCGTAGAGATGTGTGTGCAGAGCGGTGCCATGGGGCAGTGTGGGAGCCCATAGCTTCAGGTTGCTCCTGAGAGCTCACTGCCAGTGAGGGGGATGGGAGAATGTGGGCTGCTTCAGTTGTTTTTTTCCAGAGAAAAGAGCTTAACAGTTCATTTTAATTATTCTTTTGGTTTTGTTCTTTTTTTCCCTTTTTTTTTCTTTTTTTTTTTTTTCCTCAGACCTGTGATTGCATTTCTCCACACTTCTCAGTTCTGTGGAAAAGGCCTGGTGAAATCACATCCACCATAACAAGTCTGCCAGGCTGCCTGCTTGCTTGTTTACCTGCTTAAGGACTTCCCAGCAGGTGCTCTGGGGAATTGTCTGAGCGGTTCCTCATTTCAGGTGCTCAGAAACTGGGGGACAGCGTGGAGATTCCCATACTTCCCTTCATGCATTTAGTTGGAGGCACAAGCTAACATGAAAAAAGGCAGCTTTCAGTGTATGCATGGGATGGAGAGGTTGTCCTCCCCCAAAGAAACACCTGTGCTCAAACATCTCCCTGCACAAATGCCTGGAGACACATGTCCCATGCCCTGCAGAGCTCCCTGGGTGCACTCAGCGTGCTGTGATGGGACCAGGACTATGCCTGAGCATGTGGCCCCATGCAAGGAGCAGAGGAGCTGACTTTCTTCAGGGAGGGATGTGCTCCTGGTCTGGCAAGAAGAGCCTGCACAAGAGGGAGTCTAATTTACAGTGCCCTGTAATTTGCTGATGCCATAATATGTTTAGCTTGGGGAAAAGGCTCTGTTGATACTAACGTGTTTGCTCACATCGGAGCTGCGGTATGTTCTATCAGCATGAAAAACAACAACAGACTGGGCTGGGCTGGGTTAGCCTTGCAAAAATAACGGGGCAGAAGAGCAGGAGCTGGGCTGGGAGTGAGCCTACCAGGGCTGCCTTAAAGGGGAACAGCCTGCAAGCCCCTCAGCTGGGCACTGAGAGCCTCCCTAGCTTCTGCTGCAGGAACACTGGCTCTTGGGTGAGCTATTGCCCAGACAGACAGACAGCAAATAGTTACTGTGTTGCAAATCGGTCTTGTTCTGGGATACAGTATTGTCCTCTTCATTTGCCTACCAGGTTAATAAATCAGTTATTACACACACCTGTGCTGCGCTTGAGCTCACGGAACTGCAGCTCTTGAGCCCCACAGACTGAGAAAATGCCAACTCTGGAGCAAGTTCACAGAATCATAGCATGGCTTGAGCTGGAAGGGACTTTAAATCCCACCCTGCCCAACCTCCTGTCGTGGGCTGGCTGCCCCCACCAGCTCAGGCTGCCCTGGGCCCAGCTAACCTGGCCTTGAGCACCTCCAGGGCTGGGGCACCCACAGCTCTCTGAACAACTGTACCAGGGCTTTACCACCCTCTGAGCAAA